TCCAGTCAGTTACAGAACTGAACACCAACCAAATAAGTCCTAACAGTAATTGTTAAATGGACTGTATTTGTATAGTTCCTTTCTATCTAATCCAGATACTCAAAGATCTTTACACACAATCTGTGTCCTTATTTACCTCCACATACACATTCATGCAGAACTCTATTCTACTACATCTCTACAAAGATAATTTGAATCTGTGGAGACTAATCTGAGCTTTAGATCACATTCAGACACCAATGGGATACACATCAGAGACAATGAGGGGTTCAGTGTCTTACCCAGGGACACATCAACATGTGACTGCTGGTGGAATCAAACCCCCAACTCTCCCATTGGAGGACGACTGCTCTAAACACTCAGCTACAGCTGCCCCCTAAACAGTGTGAACAGCCTTAAACCTGAATCCGTACCGTTCTACCGAGGGTCAGTATATCACGTAGGTCATGAAGTGAATACGCCTCAAGCAGATTTTCTCTCCAAATAGTCAGATGTTGTTTATGACTTCAACCCATCTCATTAGCATTACAGCTACACTTCTTCACATATGTTCAGCCCTCTGTCAAAACTAAAAAATTGTCTAGGTCTAGCCACCTTCTTCCTGGGTTCTCTACTGTATAAATGATTCAGGGTACAACTTCCTGTCTGACACTGGAAGTAGCAGTTAACCATGGTAGCGGAGCACAGACCGCGGTTTATTTGAAAGTAGTTTGCATTCAGTTTAGCATAGAAAACACTGTTTTTGTTTTGTTTACATTTATTTAAAAACCATAAAGTTAGTAAAATAGCAGTGCTGAATTCAGGTGCCTGTTGTGTTTACGGTTGCATGAACATCCAGACCAAACTAAATCAGTGGCTACAACAACAGAGTTTTGAACATGGACCCAAAACAAAAAGAGTGTTCCTGTGAAAAGCAGTATAGTTTCCATCTTCTACCTACAGATTAGGAATTAAGAAGAATGTGGCTTAAAATATGAACTTCAAGAGACCACCCAAAACTCTGTCTGTGTGCTCATTTCACTTTGTTGATAAATGGCCCATGGAGGAAAACCTGCATCTTACTTTGTGTCTGGACTACAATAAACCACCGGAGAAGAGACGCCAGATCCTCAGAATGATTGACAACAGTGTGATGAGAATATCGGTTATGATTTCAAGTGTATGGAGGACACAGCATTATAGTATTTGTTCGTTTTCTGTGTTATGATTTTCTCTATAATTAAACCAAGCTCAGTGATGGAGGACTTTAAGGCTTTGGCTGATGGGCTCTATGTCTGCTTTAAGGCAAATAAGACTCTTTTAACAAAACACGACTGATCGTATTACTGTGTAGATAATAATACACCTCAGAGCGTTTCAGCTAGTTTATTACTTTGCTGTCTGAAGCAACCGAGTTAATGAAGTAGCTAAATATGCTATTGGATGTAGCTAAATATGCTATTGGATGTAGCTAAAAATGCTAGTAGATGTAATCTTTGGCCACTTCGTCAGGTCATCCTCCATCCCTTGTGCGCAGCAGGCAGCAGGCAGTAGGTATGATTATATTGTCCTGTTTGCACTCTGACAGGTGGTGTTCTTATATGTTTAAATTAAATCCAAAATGCTCCGAGAAATTACATTAGCTCGTACCGTTCACACATAAACGAACACCGGTTCCTGTCCGCACCGTAAGTCATTCCATAATTCATACAAACAATGGGGCCTAGGAATAAGGTGGATAAATCATGCTATTGATAAGTAACCATTCATAAAAAATGGTCAGAGTCTGACAGAGTCATCATTTCTAAAGTGTACTCAAGCAGAGTAAGCCCTAAATGTGAGGCCAGATGCCAAGGAGGGAACAAAATGGGCTGAGGCGGGAACAATGAGGTAAACAACAAACAACATGCAAAACTGGGGGAGTGGTGGCGCAGAGGTTAGAGAGGTGGGCTTGTGATCCGAAGATCGCCGGTTCACGCCTGGGCCCCGACAACATAAAAAATTGTGGGTGGGGTAGATGAAACACCCACACTTGCCCCCACCCTCATTCGCCCCACCCTGGGCCCATGAGCAAGGCCCTTAACCCCCACCATGTGCTCCCTAAAAGAAAAAAACAGGTCTCTCTTGAAAATGAGTTCTCGTGGCTCAATGAGACTAACCTGGATAAATAAAGGCTAAATGAAAAAAGAAAAAAAATGCAGTTTTACAAGCCATGCACATACAAACTGGATTCCAAAAAAGTTGGGACACTAAACAAATTGTGAATAAAAACTAAATGCAATGATGTGGAGATGGGCAAATGTCAATATTTTATTCGTAATATAACATAGATGACAGATCAAAAGTTTAATCTGAGTAAATGTAACATTTTAAAGGAAAAATATGTTGATTCAAAATTTCACAGTGTCAACAAATCCCAAAAAAGTTGGGACAAGTAGCAATAAGTGGCTGGAAAAAGGAAATTGAGCATATAACGAACAGCTGGAAGACCAATTAACACTAATTAGGTCAACTGACAACATGACTGGGTATAAAAAGAGCTTCTCAGAGTGTCAGTGTCTCTCAGAAGCCAAGATGGTAAGAGGATCACCAATTCCACCATTGTTGCACAGAAAGATAGTGCAGCAATACCAGAATGGTGTTACCCAGCGTAAAATAGCAAAGACTTTTAAGTTATCATCATCAACCGTGCATAACATCATCCAAAGATTCAGAGAATCTGGAACAATCGCTGTGCGTAAGGGTCAAGGTCGTAAAACTCTACTGGATGCTCGTGATCTCCGGGCCCTTAAACATCACTGCACCTCAAACAGGAATGCCACTGTCAAGGAAATAACAGAATGGGCTCAGGAATACTTCCAGAAAGCATTGTCAGTGAACATAATCCACCGTGCCATCCGCCGTTGCCAGCTGAAACTCTACAGTGCAAAGAGGAAGCCATTTCTAAGCAAGCTCTACAAGCTCAGACGTTTGCATTGGGCCAGGGGTCATTTAAAATGGAGTGTGGCAAAATGGAAGACTGTTCTGTGGTCAGATGAGTCACGATTTGAAGTTCTTTATGGAACACTGGGACGCCATGTCATTCGGACCAGAGAGGACAAGGATAGCCCAAGTTGTTATCAACGCTCTGTTCAGAAGCCTGCATCACTGATGGTATGGGGTTGCATGAGCACTTGTGGCATGGGCAGCTTGCATGTCTGGAAAGGCACCATTAATGCAGAGAACTATGTTCAGGTTCTAGAACAACATATGCTCCCATCTAGACGTCATCTCTTTCAGGGAAGACCCTGCATTTTTCAACACGATAATGCCAGACCACATTCTGCAGCAATCACAACATCATGGCTACGTAGGACAAGGATCCGGGTACTGAAATGGCCAGCCTGCAGTCCAGATCTTTCACCTATAGAGAACATCTGGCGCATCATAAAGAGGAAGGTGCGACAAAGAAGGCCCAAGACGATTGAACAGTTAGAGGCCTGTATTAGACATGAATGGGAGAGCATTCCTATTTCTAAACTTGAGAAACTGGTCTCCTCTGTCCCCAGACGTCTGTTGTGTGTTGTAAGAAGAAGGGGGGATGCCACACAGTGGTAAAAATGGACTTGTCCCAACTTTTTTGGGATTTGTTGACACCATGAAATTTGGAAACAACAGATTTTTTTTTCCTTAAAATGATACATTCTCTCAGTTTAAACTTTTGATCTGTGATTTGTGTTCTACTCTGAATAAAATATTAGATGTTGGCACCCCCACATCATTGCATTCAGTTTTTATTCACAATTTGTTTAGTGTCCCAACTTTTTTGGAATCTGGTTTGTATAAGTGGGCTGGAATTTTCAGAAACAGTTCACTCAAAATGCTGCTGATGTGCTCACTTCTGAAGTGCTCCGTACTGCGCTGCTTATAGATATCTGTGGCATTACTCATAGGCAGATTTGGAGGACACTGTAGACATGAATACAGGCAGATTTGGAGGGCACTTTAGATATGAAAGACAGATCTGGAGGGCACTGTAGACAAAGACAGATCTGGAGGACACTGTTGACATAATGAAAGGCAGATTTGGAGGACACTGTAGAAATGAACACAGGTAGATCTGCAGGACACTGTACACATGAAGACAGACAGATCTGGAGGACACTGTACATATGAAGACAGACAGATCTGGAGGACACTGTACATATGAAGACAGACAGATCTGGAGGACACTGTAGACATGATGAAAGGCTGATCTGTAGGACACTGTAGACTTAAAGACAGGTAGATCTGTGCCAGTTTTCAGAGCTCTGACATGGTTTTTGTTGGAGGAGACCTCTCTGCTGGTAAAAAACACATTCGAGGCTCTTGAGAGAATTTGAAGTTGCTGGCATGACTCAATGACTATTTTGAGAGAAAGTTTATCACATATTTTTTTAACATATTAACAATTTGAATGAAAGACCTCTGAAATTCAGGCAAGAGTTCTGAGAACCTGCAGGAACTTTGGAAGCCATTCTGGGGACTCAATCAGATCAAAGGTTAAACAAAGTGAGCAAACAAAACTTCATCTGAGCCAAAAGCTTCTTTCCTGACTTTTAAGAGAAAATGGAAACGACATATAGCTGATTGTTTTTCAGATCTGATGTGAAGCTGTGCACACCAAGCCTTTACGGGATCCTGGGAAATAAAATAAATTTAAAGCTGTTCTGTGGCTGTCTTTTTTATTTAAAGAAATCTGGAGAGTGAAAGAGAGGAAACGTCTTCACCTCCAGAATAAAATCCAGTTGATTTTAGTTTAAAATACTTTGGATAGGGATTAATCTGATTTATACTGAAGTCACATTTCCTACATCTTCCTCTGCAGACATGTGCTGTTAATGATACTTGAGCCTGTCATTAACTCACACTGATCCAGAGTCGTACATGTTTCTGAAAATGGATTTAAATATAAAACTTGTGTTTTTCTTCTTTGCTCCTCTGCTCTACTCATCCCTCCTCTTATGGGGTTTTTATCCTGTCTGCATTCAATTACCTCACAGGTGGTACACCAATAAGAGGTAAGAATGCTGGGTCCAGAGACCATGTCTTCATCCCCTTACTCTGTCCCTCTTGTCCCTGTAGTTTGTGTTTGTCCCCCCACTCTGTTACTCTTGTTCCTGTAGTTAGTCTATGTCCACTCACTCTGTCCTTGTTCCGTGCTGTCTTAGTAAGTTTTCAAAGGTGTGGATGTTCTGGAAGAGATCAAACAGGAAGGAGGGCAAATACAAAAAAATTATACCCTTTAATAAATGATGGAATAGCTCAATGTAATAAGAAGTCGAAGTCCAGGTTGAACAAATCATTTTGTGTGTGTGTGTGTTTGTGTGTGTGTTTATGTCACTTTGTAAGGCCCATTTTTCCAACTGATACTACAATGTGAGGACCAACTGCTCTTTATGTGGCCCAAAGCCCAGGCCCCATAAGAAGTGTGGTTAGGGGTTAGGTTTAGGACTAAGGTGTGACTTGAGGATTTGTTAGGTTTAGGGTAGAGGTCAGGGTTAGGCTATAGAAATGAACGAAAAATGAATGGAAGTCCCCATAAAGATAACAAAACCAACCTGTGTGTGCAACATGACACAGAGATTACGGGATCTCGTGTTCTAGTAATTGTCTCTATATTTGGTACAGCATCCTCCAGAGATGTAAGACTACACATTTTTAAACTTTGACCACTTTTCATTTCATTATATCCTACGACCTCTGTTTACTTTGGTTATAAATGGTAAATGGACTGTACTTATATATCCATCCATCCATCCATCCATCCATTTTCTTTACCCGCTTATTCCATTTTGGGTCACGGGGGTCGCTGGTGCCCATGTCCAGCAATCACTGTGCGAGGGGCGGGGTACACCCTGGACGGGTCGCAAGTCCATCACAGGGCCACATAGAGACAAACGAGACAAACAAACATTCACTCTCTCACTCACACCTAGGGACAATTTTAGAGTTACCAATCAGCCTAACATGCATGTTTTTGGACTGTGGGAGGAAACCGGAGTACCCGGAGAAAACCCACGCATGCACGGAGAGAACATGCAAACTCCACCCAGAAAGGCCCCTGGACCGGGGTTTGAACCAGGGACCTGCTCGCTGAGAGACAGCAGCTCTACCAGTTGCGCCACCATGCTGCCCCTGCACTTATACAGCACCTTTCAATTCAATTTCAATTCAATTTCAATTCAGTTTATTTATATAGCGCCAAATCACAACAAAGTTGTCTCAGGGCACTTTACAGAAACATTCACATACATAAAAGTCTTTTATTAGTAAAGTTCTCTATCTAAAGAATCCAGCAGACAAGTTGAATCTTGGCTTCGTTGCAGTCTCCCATCCTGAGCAAGCACAGTGGCAACAGTGGAAAGAAAAAACTCCCTTTTAAAAGGAAGAAACCTCCAGCAGAACCAGGCTCAGGACAAGCAGCCATCTGCTTTGACCGGCTGGTTGAGAGGACAGGAAGGAGAGACAGACGAACACAGAATTGTAGGTCCAGGTATAGGTCCAGGTGTATCTGAAAGACAAAACAACACATGTTAAGGATAGAAAAAATAATTACAAATACAAAACAGGTTGAGCAGAGTAAGTAAAGACAGTAGCAGAGTGAAAAGTGTGGTCAGTTTGTCCTCCAGCAGTCTAAGCCTATAACAGCATAACTAAGGGACAGCTCAGGAAACCCAAGCTGACCCTAACTATAGGATTTAGCAAAAAGGAAAGTCTTAAGCAAATTGACAAATATTTGAAACAACAAAAAACTCTCAAGGACTGTCAGGGAAACTTTGTTCTTCTACCCACAAAGTTTGATCCACACTTTTCCTCTCAGCCCAAACAGATTTATGAGTGGTCCAAATGTTTCGACTCAACAGGTTTCAACAGAAATCTTATAAGGTTTTAGTCTCATGATATCTCATAACACACAATCTTAGTTCACCCCTACTTGTTCCAAAATCTATCCCATAATGCTCTTTAGGGTTATACAGTAGTCCCTCGTTTATTGCGGGGGTTCCGTACCCTGCCCTCTAAGTGAAAAACTGCGAAGTAGGGATACAGTTGTCCAAGTTCAAGTTCAAGTACCTCTTCTTTCCAGAGCTGTAACTTTATTGTCATTATTCCATCTCATGTGGTACATGAGATGGAATGGACACAAGTAGTAAGTAGTAGTTTATTTTAGTATTTATATACATGCATATATTGGCGTTTTAAATCCTTCCCACACTCTTGCAATATTCCTAACTATTTTCTAAACTCTTAATTCTTTTAAAAATATTAATTTTAAATTGGGTACTCACCAGCGAAGATTAAAATGAAATAGCGATGAAAGAATAAACATGTTAAAAACTTTTTCAGACCTGTAGCCCCCTGATTCGGCAATCAGATCTTTGAATGTCGTGTTAACAAACTCCTCCACTCCTGCTGTCAGCAGATGCAATCTCTCTGTGCAGAGAAACGTTTTTTAATCCAAATCGTTTTTGAAATTTGTCGAACCATCCCTTGCTTGCACTAAATGCAGTGGTTCGGTGGTTGAACCAGGTGGTCGAAAGGTCCAGCTTCGGGTTCGTCCCCCTCCCCGCTCCTCATTACATCACCATGTCTCAGTTCCTCCATGCTGCTTGCCGCAAGATGATCATAAAGTTTTTTCACCTTTGGTGTTGGTATCCAAAGTGATGGAGTATTTTCTGCAATAATTAATCCCCACGACCAATGCAGCTTCCATCTTAACAACAGTAGGCGGACGGCGGCATCCGTGTAGGTACGGCCATCTTAAAGTTTGTCCAGAAGTTCCACTTTCTCTTTAATTGTCAGCATCTTCCAATTGGTGTTTCTGTTCACTGCCAGAAGCTTTTGAACACACAGAACATTTGGGAGCCGTTCAGTTGAAAAGGAATGGAGGTAAACAAATCCCCTGCTACTAGCGCAACTACCAATCAGTGCCCGGGTTACTAAGCATTTTGGTTAAAAAGCATTTCTGGCGTTTTGTTTTGTTGCCAGAAACTTTTAAATGCACAGAACTTTTAGAAACAATAACACGATTAATGTCCACTTGAAAAAGAACGCAGGTAAACAGACGTCTTGTGCTGTAACAGCCAATCAGTGCCCGAGTCACATAGCACAATGCCTCTGTTTCTTAAAGAGACATGTCCTCACATGAGTTACAATTTATTTTGAATCTTAAGTTTGTAAAGTTGAATTCTCTTAAAAAACGTTTTCCATGTGACATTAACTAAATGTTACGTTTGAAAGGCCGGTTCAGCAGTCATGACTTCGCTTTGCAAAAATACTGTTTGGCAGAAAACAGTGCCTAGAGACGCTACAGTTACAGCACAGCATTGATTTGAGGGAAATGTAGTCCGTCTGAGTGTTGATTACAGTACAGCACATCATTGATTTGAGGGAAATGTAGTCCGTCTGAGTGGTGATTACAGTACAGCACATCATTGATTTGAGGGAAATGTAGTCCGTCTGAGTGGTGATTACAGTACAGTTGGAAGCTGAATGAAAGAAAGCTACAAAATGGCACGCGGCACCTGTCCAAATTATTATTTTTTTGTCATTAACTTTTTCACATTCACACGAGTTCTGTACAGTAATATTACTGTACAGTCCACAATTGTGTGTAAAAAAATATTTTTTGTGCGCAGTATTCTGGACGGACTGTACGTCCACAAACCACGATAGAGCAAGTCCATGAAAGCAGTTCCCATGTTGTGAGCAGTCCCACAACATGGGAACTAAATACTTTTTCTAAAAGTCCTTAACTGTGCTCATTCCTCTCATCATGGACAACAAGTCCGGTGAATTTGAAAACATTTGCTCTTTATTTGCCAAAGTTAGAGGGGGGGGGGGACAGAATATTTCAGGTGGCTGAAATATTCTGTTCCCCCCCTCTAACTTTGGCTACTAAAGCGCAAATGTTTCCAAATTCTCAAGGATAGTTGTGTGTGATGAATGAACCTAAATCTCAAGATGATTAAATAATCACCAAAACATTACAGTGTGTGAACTTCAAGCTGAAATCTTGTGTTCCACATTCTTTGTTGTTTAAGCTTTTTTTTTCACAAGAGAAATAAGAGAAAAAACAGACATTAAACACCAAAAAATAGCAGCTAGAAATATCTGTTCTCCAATATTGTCATATTTTTCATTTGAACAAGATTTACCAGAAAGCCTATCTTGTCAGGAAGTTTAATTTTTCATGTCCTGCTCTCACTAGCTTCCATCCTTCTATATTAGCAATACAAAATATATATAAATACGCATGATGTGTTGGTGGCTGACTGATATTTGTCAGGCTAAAGTCAACATGACCAAAGTTATAGATTCTCTCGACGATTAAGAAACAAAACAAAAAAAAAACACGACCTGTATAACACCCCACACAATACCAGTTATTTTTTATTTGTTTGAGGTTTTACATTTATTTATTTACCACGAGCTTTCGATTAAAATGAAAGTTACAACTGTGACATGATTATGTGAACTCGTTTTACTGAAAATCTATCAGATGAGCCGTGAAGACGGTCGGAGCCGCCTCTCTGGTTGCAGTGCGCGCTCCCGACACAGGAGGAACAGATTTTCACAGGGGAACAGAATTTCGCACAAGAGGTCTCTACGAGTGCTCCCTGGCTTTATGCAGATGTCGGGACCCTCATCTCTTCTGATCGCTTGGATCCACTGCCTCCTTTGGTCTGGGTACGTTGTGAAAAGCATGGTAGGACAGATATGGTTGTTTTCTTGCCCCACAAGAACAACCAGGAACTGAACAAAAGAAACCGACTGAGCCATTTTCCTCACTGTCTAATGCTAACGCTATAGCCACCGGAAGTTGTTTAACACCACATCTGCTTTAAAACCCGGAAGCGTGAAAAAGGTCTATTGTCATTACATAACAAATGTCAGGATATTTTTAATACATCTTGTCAATATTTATACTGAAATGGTACATATAAGGGGTTTAGGGCACCAGGAACCATAACATTCCACCACTGACTGGCTTTGTTAAGCTCCCAGACTGCAATTATTTTGCTGGAGATTCATCTGAAACACACACAGCATATGTATTACTAAACAGTATTTAATCGACATTTACATACTTTTTTGCTCAGCTTTTTACATACAGTATATATAGCCCACTATAGCAGATTAGCATTAGGTTACCATCACATGTCGTTCTAGCTCGCATCTTTATGGCTTTCCACACTCTCAGTGTTTAATATATTAAGTTTTCCACATTACATACAAAAAAAAAAAAAACACAATTACAAGGAAGAAAAGGGAGAAGAACAAAAGAAAAACCCCACCCAACAAACCACCCCCACCCCAGTAAATACTGTCACGTACAAGGTATGCAACAAAAACAATTAAGACTATACAAACACCAATGTCAAAATTCATGAATCTACGCTCAGCCTAAATCTCAAGAGCCTGCTATTCTTGGACCATTGTTGAGGGTTTATTGAAAAAAGTCATAAAAGATTTCCAGGTCTTATGAAATTTGTTTTTAGATCCTCTCATCACATACCTGATTTTCTCTAATGCACTTCTCCAGAGTCTTTGGCCTCGCTGCCTACAGCCTTTCCCGGGTCTCTTCTCTTTGATGTCTGGCAAAAAGCACCAGACTGAGCAGAATGTTCAACAAAGCTACAATATTCTCCATTTTGTTGTGTATCATTTCAGGGTCTTCTACTAATATGTTCAATAGTGGCTAGAAAATAGCTTAATAGAGCATTACCGCCACCAGCTGCTAAGGCGTGTGGCATTAATTTTTGGGCTGAACCCGCCCACTAGAACTGTTACTGGAAGTGTAATGGAAAAACAACTGTACCGTGCCGAACCATGCAGAGCCGAATTGAACCGTGCCGTACAGGACTAATGGAAAAGGGGTTTGAGTCTCAAGTGTGTTCTGGGCCTTCTTGGGGTCTCCCCCCAGTCCACCATGCCTGAAGCACCTCCCTAGGGAGGTGCCATGGGCCATCCTTACCAGATTAACAACAGACTAGTAATCACTAATCACTAAAAGAACAGTGCTAAACAGCTAACTGAAATGATTAACAACAAACATAAATTTTACCCATAATCCCTCTCTGAGGCCAAACATAAATTTTACCCATAATCCCTCTCTGAGGCCATGTGACCATCAGTCAACCACAGCGGAATGCTACAGTACATACCGGTAACATACACAAATACATACAGTAATTTATATTTTTATTTTTTTTAATGAATAGTGCCGGTAAGATGGCTGGTAAAATAAATTATATATATATA